TGAGAGAACTACTTATCGACTGATGATATAATGAAAGATTGTATGATAATATATCAACCTTTAGTCAAAAACGACAAGTCAGGCAAAAATGGCTTGGCACGGAATGTGTTAAATCTCGTTTCATCGTGCCGAGTGTGTCTATTTTATATATACACGAAATCTAAGAGACTCCTTTTTTTTTTTTTTTGATTGTTGATTTCAAAGCAAAAAACGATCTCTCACTTCCAGGTGGAATGTGCTTCGCGTACAACTGCGATCTCTACTACAGAGATTACTTCCCTGATTATGACTTAGGCTGGTGGCTGTTCGCCGTGACCATAGTGATCGGTGGCATCGGCGTCGTGGCCGGTGGAGTAATTAGCGACAAGTTCGTGGCGAAGATGGGCATTAGGTCGCGTGTGGCTGTCCTAGCCATCAGCCAGATCATCGCCACGCCATTTGCATTTGGCTCGATGTACTTCAATCCCCTGTGGGCTATGATCACCCTTGGAATTTCCTATTTCTTTGGCAAGTAAATTTAGCATTTCATTTAATATTTTATACTTTAATTCATTCATTGCCATTATTGTGTTTATTATTCAATTTATTAAGTTTATTCTAATCAAGAAATTTTTATATTTTAGAAACAGTAAATATTTTATATATTAATAATAATGAAAATATATAAAAATAATAATTTTATTATATTAATAAAATAGTAAATATTTTATATGTTGATATAAATATTTAAAATAATAATATAATAAAAATTATTATTTTAAATTTATTTATTTTGTCATATCTTTCTTAGTTGAAATTCCTATATACATAATTCATGGATGACTATTAAATTTATTCATTATCATTATTATATTTATTACTTAATTCATTAAATTTATTCTATTCAATAAATTTTTATATTTTAGAAATGGTAAATATTTCATATACTAATAATTTTAAATTTATTTATTTTGTCACATCTTTCTTAGTTGAAATTCCTATATATATATATATATATATAATTCATGGATATTAAAAGCCCATGTTGAAGCTTCATTTTTTAAATCAATAATTTTGGCTTCTGTTGCATTAAAATTAGGAAGATGTGGAATTTTACGAATTATATATATAATAAAATGTATATTTATTTTATAGTTATTAATTTATTTGGTATATTATTTTCAAGTATTATATGTATATGTCAAATAGACGTAGAATTAATTATTGCAATTTCTTCTATTGTTCCTATAGCAATTATATTAATATAATATTAATATAATATATAATATTGTTCCTATAGGAATATTATCAATAATAAAATTAAAATTATATGGAAGATATTATATAATAATTAGCCATGGACTTATTTCTTCTGCATTATTCTATTTAATTAATTTAATTTATATTCAAACTAATACACGTTCTTCAGATATATTCCTTGTATTTGTGTATTCTTCTAGTAATATCTAGTAATTAATATTTATTAAAATTTATTAACATGCACTTACGTGGGAAGCACGACGATCATGCGACTGGCACGGTTAATTAAAAATTGACTTTCACTTTTTTATTTTTCTTCTTGGTGTGCAAAAAATCCACTCTGGCGTGGAAACTTATCATTCGCCGCGAGAACTAAAACACAGGAATTTCCATTGCAGCCGAAATGTGGTTTGGAATTGTGTTCGCAGTGGTCGTTGAAATAGTGCCGTTGCACTTCCGATCGACCACTATCGGCGCCTTCTTGTTCGTGATGAACAACATCGGTGGAAATCTACCGATACTGGTCGAACCAACAAGAATGGCCATCGGCTTCCGAGAATCACTTTATATTTTTTACGCCGGTTTCTACGGCCTTAGTAAGTAATTACTCACCGAGTAATTGATAGTGATTATCGTATTATCGATCTATATTGTCCGGCAGACAGTTATAATTATAATTATATAATTGTTAATTAAATTATTATTAATTAAATAATTATATTAATTATATGATTATATAAACAATTGTAATTCCTTTAGGTTCTATACTGTTCTTTTCCACCATGTTCCTCATGGACGGGGCTGTGAAAGAAGAAGCAAAGCCGGATATCAGTAAAATACCAGAATCCGGATACGACAACAGCACATTCACTACCGACGAAGGGCGTGTGCCAACGTTGGAACTTCCTCGATTATATCCATCGGCGCCGCGTCGTTTCGAAAATTCCAGGTTATAAACGATCGTCAATTTTTAGAGATTTTCCTTGCAAATAGTCAAGCCAGGATCGATCTAATTCGATATATTCGTTGCATCGAGTATAGCATTAGAAAAAAATAGTAAAAGTCGACGCGAGCCGATATTTTGTATATTTTTTTTTAATTCTTCGAATAAGCATTTTACGAAA